ATTAATAATTTGACTTTTATTGAAATAATATACAATTTAAATGCAAATTAAGTGTGAAGACTTATTTATATTAATAAAATCATATGATATTCTCCATTTGAGATCTAACAGATTTAATAAATAAAGGATTATCTAATTATTTTCTATTTGCTGATAATTATCTTTTAATAGGATATTATTATTATTATTTTAATTGTTAGATTTTCATTTATTATTTATTATCAGAATTATCAAAATGTTTTTAACTAAGTTATTTAGGTCTAGCTGAAAAATGTTTACCAATAGGTGGTAATTTATGATTTTAATTATTATGTTCATCTTCTTTTTAAATAATCCATTTTTTTGTTTCAGTTAGATGCAAAGTCTTTTCTTCTTAAGAGAGATTATTAAATAATCCAATAAATTAAGGTTGATTATCAATTGGACATATATAACAATGTTCTTTCATTTTATTAATACAACCTTCATCTGCAATATGACCACATTATAATAATCTAAGTTATTTTTATTTATGACAAAAGGAACATTTACTTTATTTTTAGAATCCAGTACCCACTAACATTAATCCTCCAGTTTCATGATTACCAGCATTTAAATTTTCAGGGAATAAATATATTAATGATTCAACTGTTACATTAACTTCAAATTCATATTTTTCTAATCTTGTATGTTTAAACATGAAAATATGTTATTAATGAGTTTTTTTATTATGACATTTATCACATAAATGATAATTAGGGCATGATATACATGTATATATAGTACCAATAATAGGTGTTATTTTACAATAACTACATATTTTATTGTGTGTTTTATGTAAATTTTCAAATATCTTTTCTTCTTATCTTATTTCTACCAAAGCAGTGTCACCCCAATCAACTCTACACATTGGACAATTAATCTTTTTACCAGCTGTTTATTTTTACATCACCCATACTTTCATACATTTTGCATGAAAATTGTTTCCACATTATTTTTTACAATGCACTAAAGCTTCATTACATACTAAACTCTCTTAACATATTGGACACATGTCATCCTCTGTTACTTATTATCTATTTTATTATTAATCTTCAGAATTAGTATTATTTTACTATACTTATTACTATTATTATCTAATTACACTTATTTATTATCTTGTTTTAGTCTATTATGATTTGGTTTTATATTATCCATTTAAAATATTTGTAATATCATATTGAGAATATTGTTGTTACCATAGAATAGGACATTTTTCATCTACTTAAAACACTTTTAATAATGCATGGATTGTATGAATGCAATGTTAATTATTCTAATTACAAGAACAAATCATAGTAGTTGATAATTCTACTTTAAATTTATTTCCATCTTCATCACAATACTTTAAACTAGTTGGTCCAATTCTTTTTAATAAATATAATCTGGTTTATTTGGCTTACTCTATTAAATCTAATATTATTTATGGAGGACTAAAACTTATTAATTCATTTACTTCTTAGATGTTTTTACTTTTGTTTGATTTTTCATTTTTATATTAAATATATATATAAATAATTAAATTCGATTAATATAACTGATTTTTTTATTATTCTTTTTTAAACTAATTTATTGATTGAACACTATCTTACAAATATTTAACTAAGTTAATAATTTATATAATTAATAATCATGTAAATATGATAAATTATTGTAATATTTATTTAATCTTTACTATATAATATATATATATATTTAAATGTTGTAATTAAAATTAATAAAGATAAATATTAAATCTTAATATGTATATAATAATAAATTCCATACTTTTTTTTAATTAATATATAATGATTCAAAATATATTCAGGACTTTGATTTGTTAGAAAGGACTTATTACTTAGAAATAATAATTAATATTATGAAAGAAGACAATTCTATTCTATCGTAAAAAAAGATAGATGAATTAATTAAAGAATAAAAATACTCTGCACTCATCTAACTCATTTCTAAAAAAGAACCATCCAAGTAAAACTACTTTATTTATTTATCTTAGATTAAAACAATATAATTCCATAAAAATAAAGAATTAAATCTTCAGATTGAAATAAGATGTTGCTGTTTGTGCCAATAATAATGATGTTTACTCTGGAAAATTAATTAAAATATATAGCTTTAAAGATTAAAATGAATAGCATGTTCCTGTGATCTAAATTCAATGGTATTTTCATATTTTTAATTATAGGTATTACACAAAATAAGATTTAAATTTAGATAAAAAGTTTATGAAATATATTTCTATTAAAGAATTGTTTTTTTCTACTCATGTAGAATTTTTAGCAGCTAATAAATTATAAAGTCCTATTGAAGTGATGTCATTTGATCAATATACATAATTAGAATATGTAGAAGAAACTAAATTCTTTAGTAGAGCAGCTATAGATCTTAAAACAATGGTACCAATGCCTAAAGTTACTGAATGGCCAAAATCATGTGTTTGTAGAATGCCTTAGAACCCAGATATATAAATGATTTAATGTGAAACATGTGGAGAATGGTTTCATTTAGATTGTGTTAATATTAAATCAGAAGAAGCAGAATAAATTGAAAATTATAAATGTCCAGGTTGTTAATGAATATTATATGATAAGATATAATTAATTATCTGATTAAACAAATAATTATAATATTTTTATATTATTAATACAAATATTTAATCTTTACTAATTAAATTTTTTAGTTCAAATTGAATAAATCTTTATTTTTAACAATAATCAACCTACTAATTGACTATTTTGTAAAAAATATAAATAACAATATGTCAATTATTGAATTTTAATTAATAATAAGTGTAACAAAAGATTGAAACTAAATCGTTTTCTTAAAATAAATAAGAAGAAAAAAAATAAAAAACTTTTAACTTAATAGAAAGTAAATTCATTCAGAAAATAAGTATTAAGTAAAAAATTGATAAATTATTATTGATAAATAAGAATAAAATAATAAATAAATAATCTAGTATCTAATATTAAGAACTAAATTGTCTTGTTATCTAATTTAATATTTAATATTAAGTTATATATATATATAGGTATTAATAATCATTTTATATAGAAGTTTTCTTCATCTCCTTTTTTCATTTAAGAGTTGATCATTTTTGATGAATTCATTCTAGATTATTACATAATTGATTGATTTTTCATAGTTTTATCAAGTCTTGTAATCTCCTAGTTTTATTAACTAGTTAATTCCTTTCTTACATTCTAATATTTCTAAAGTAATCTATTATAGTAAATATTATAAATATACTTCTCCAATTCTTAAGATCTAATTTTCCTTTATTCTTCCTATCCAGATAGAATTCTTTATTACAAAGCACCTAATTCATTAGTTTATTTTAATTTAAGTTAAGAGATTAGATTTCTGATTTTGGTAGTTCTTGAAGCATTCCATTTTTCATATTCATCTCTCTCCATAGATAGTATTCTTTATTGAGTAAGATGTGCTTCTTAATAACTATATATATAAATAAATTTAATTACTTTTCTTATCTTGCTAATGATTCTTCTGTCTTTCTCAAACTAAGTAATTCAGCAGAGTCTTTTGGTTTGACTGGAATAGAGTTCTCTAATTCATCTGTAAATTGTTTTAATTCTTCATCATGTCTTTATAAGACTTATTCTTTAACTCTTTAAGCTTCTTAATCAAATTCAGCCATTTTTTAATCCCAAAATTCGTTAAATTGATTAAATTCATCAAGATGAGCTTTTTCAATCTCTTATTTTTCATTTGTATGTCTATCTTTAACTTCATATTTATTCTTTTAATCTAATTCTTTTTTTAACTCAGCAAGTCTCTTTTTTGCTTGATCAGCTTCTAAATATTTTCCAGCCTTTTCACAACTCTTTTAATGATCATACAATATTTATCTATGATAAATTAAGAATATTACATATATTCCTCTATATCTCCTGTTTAAACTGGAAGATTGTTTGTTCCTTTAGTTGATCTTGAATTATTCATAATTTTTATTTAATCTGTTAATTAATTAAATTGTTATAAATCTTATAAATATATTTGTTAAGAATATTTTTAATATCTGTTATAATAATAATAATAATAATGTATTATAGTAACAGCTAAACTTCCTTAATAAAATCTCCATATGGTTAAATTATCACTAAAACTCCTTTAACAAGATAGAATAGACCTTAAGAAAAACTAAATGATTAATCAATTGTGTCTCAATATTAATCTCCTACATTACGATAAGCAATGTCACCAAAGGCAGCCAGAGAATACTTAAATAGTTTAAAAAGCTTTATAAATCAATATGAATCAAAGCCAATTAATGATAGTAGGATTGCCACTCAATCCAGTCATTAATCAATTATATAATAACCATATCTATACTTTCCTATTGCTAATAGATTGAATGATGAGATTAAATTGATGACTCCTTAAAGAATTGAAGTCAAGAAATTAAATTAAGATGGAACAGTACATTCTCTAAAATATTATTATTTGAAATAACCAGTATTGAGTAGTTCAAATGATGTTCCTATAGCAAAATAAACTACTATAATAGGATTGAATCATAGTGGCAAATAAAAATTATTTTTAGAACTCATTAAAAAAGTTATGACTAAAAATTTTAAATTATTCATCTAAACAGATCAAGTAGATAAATAATTAAATGTTTAAATCAATGATGATTTAAAATCAACTATTAAAAGTATCAAAACTCAATCTAAGAATTATTAATTAATTGCCTAGAGTGACTAACATGTTCTTGTATGTCGAGGAATGTAGGGATTCATTAGAGATAAAAAAGATAAAGGCATTCTTATTTTGTGCATTAAACCTGGAAAGGAAACAAAAATGGATTGTGTCTAAACTCTTAAATTGATAGAAAATATATAAAAAAATTGATCTTATATGTAATATTTATTTCAATATAAATGGGTACTTGCTAAGTAAAATATTGTAGATGTACATGTTAAGAAGGTAGATTTGGTTGTTAATGTGGAAGTGAAAATACTATAATGCTTGAGGAACAAACAAGAGAGATTAGAAGAAGAAGAATAATTACTTAAGATTAAATGATAAATAATAAAAACACAGATAAATAAAGAAGATCTAATCGTTTTGAAAATCAGAAAAATAGAGATGGATCTCCTGCTTAATCTAATTCTAGTGGTTCTTAAAATAAAACTAAATTCTCAACTTATCGCAAAGCTACTAATAAATCTCCAAATTCTATAGAAAGATATTTAATGTCATAAGAATGTAATATACCAACAGATCATAGTTAATAAGACAATAATACAAAACATAAAATAAGAGATCAAAGTTTTAAGATAGGATAGATTTATTTCAAATAAGAAAATTAGGACTTGTAATTTCAAGAAGTCATTGAAAAATTACATAATACAAGTGATATTAAAATAGAATCTCCTCATTTTTAAAATTCAAAGAAGAATTTAGAAAATAAATAAAGTTTAGATTAAATTCAGTCAATTAAAGATCCTAGTGCTTCTATGAAGACACCTACAACAACTGCTTTAGAAGTCTCACATAATCAAACTATGTCTAATCCATTATTAAATTAACATCCTTCAATCTCCAGAGATAGTTCTCCTACAAAAATCTCACATCCTATAACTTAAGTTAGTATTGGACCTATTTCGAATAAGCAGTCCTTATCTGTAATTACAGATTAATAATAATTAAAGAATAGATCACGCACTGCTGATCTGTTTGATGATTAAAAAAGTGTTACCATTAGAAGTGTATTAAAAAAAAAATAAAAAAATAATGATTCATTCAGAACTTAATAATAAGAATCCAGAAAAGTTAGATTCGATTTACCTAATTCACATTATATAAGAGAAAGATAACGATAATAGCCTAGACTTTATTAATGATAATTATATTTGTAATGATTAAAAATCTTATATAAATAAAAAAAGAATTTCATTATTTTCTTTCCAATCTATTCTTATACATTAAAAAACCTTAATTTTAATAAATATATATACTTATTTAATTTTATTACATTTTTCTAGGAGTCACAACATTATTTCTAAAACTACTACAATTTCTTACTCTTTCATCATGATAAGTACTTTTACTTCTTTAAGAATCCTAAATAGAATACTCATCTTTATTACAATATCAGTAAATTAAGTTCTTAATTGCATACTTTAAATATCAATATTCTAATAACCCCCAATAGTTTTTACTTATTTCATTGTCTATACTTTAATAATACTATCATCTTCCATTGTTCTTTGAGTACCTTCAGTTTATATTGTAGGCTGAGAAAATTTCTTTTTATTTATAATATCATTCTTAGTAGATCCTATTATTTTATTTTATTAATTCTGAGTTTTCTCTAATTCTGTACTATCAAATGCTTATATATTAAAAGATCTTGATTTTCTAAATGAATCAAATATTAAATCATCATTTTTTGAAAAATCTATTGGAGATTACGAAGATGATTCATAATTGACTAAATTATTTTAATATTCTATATTTGAGTCTTGTTCTTATGTTTCTTGTTTTAAAATTACAAATCGGAAATTTAATCGTGAATTTGATAATTGCAATACTTAAGTTTATTACTTACTTTAAAATTCAGGTGTTGGTTATTTAACATTTTAGGGATTTTTACTGAAATTTTAAGGACTTTTTAATTGAATAGATGTTATGGAAGGTTAAAAATTATTATTTACATTTAATTAATTATTATTATTTTCTTTTCCTTTTATTTTATTTGTATTATTTGTTTTTTAGTTTGATGGAGATAATATAATAGGTTGTAATTAATTTTTTAATTAATAATCTTAACATTTAAATTAAGTTATTTATTTTTATTCTTTTGGACTGCATTTAGGATTGATATTTGTATGAAATTACTTTCTTACTTAAGGGGATTTACTGTTATATTAATGTTAGTAGATTGAAAACACTTTTTTTGTTTAGTATTGTAATAAGTAATTAGAGAATTGATTCATAGTTTTAACGTTAATATTATTTATAAATTAAATCATAGGAATTAAATAAATATTTTTGATAGATATATATATATAAATAAGTAAATGAGTCATTCTTTTTATCCTTTGATTTTGACAGATTATTATCTTCGTCTTTACAATCGTATTTATACTTGATCTTATTATTCTTATAAAGCTCTATGATAAGTAATATTAATATTAGAACTTATTATGCATTCTTGTAACTCTCTAGGATTCAAAACCATGAAATTCTAAAAGTTGATTCACTTACAACTTTTAATCTTATTCTTTAATGTATTTGAGTTAATTTTCTAACTCTTATTATTTTTAGGATTTTTAAGGAATAATGACTTTTGGAGATGGAGGAGGAAGAATGTCATGACTTTAAAGATGTTTAGATTTCTTTAATGCTGTTTCATGTTTCAATTCTTCATATGCAACATTCATGCATTAATTAACAGTTCCTCTCATCAATAATTATTATGTTTTATTTTTGAAAATTAAAAACTTATTGTTTTTTATTGATTCAAAATATTCTACACCAATCTATATTAGATTAATAAATATTACTCTATACAATTCTAATAATTAATTGACTACTTCAATTGTAACATTATTACATTCGACTTCCATTTCTAAATATAAAATATTTTCAGCAAAAAATGGAGGCAGATATTTTGAGTGTTCCTAAAACAAGGACTTCTCATTATCTTAATGGTCATGCCTTGTATTCATATAATTTAAACAAATTATTAAATTTATATATATATATACTCAATGCATTTTACAAACACCAGGGATTATTATTTTTTATTTCAATTAGACTACATAAGCAATATGTCCTTAAAATAATTATATTTTCCAAAATTTATTGTCTTCTACTTACTTTTACATTTCTTCATAAGAGATTTCTTTAAAGACTTCCTCTAATAATTAATTGGAATCTTTAGGTTTCCATGATCCAAGTAATGTAGTTACATGAGAATACTTAAATATATATATATATTATTATATATACCTTATTTGTTAATGGTATTTAATAATTGTGATTCGAAATAGCTGTCACAATATTATTTGGACTAATAGCAATAGCATCAATAATGATGTCTTAATCTAAATTCTCTTTAAATTCAGTAAAGGCTTAAGATTTTAGATTTTTTGGATTGTTTCCAACAAACAGAGATGTCAAATGAATACTAGGAGGAAATTTATAATTTTGTTTTAGTTGTTTAAGCATATTTTCTAATTCTTAATCATTCTAATATTGCTCATTTAATAATTAAAGTGTTTATTAAGTGAGATTCAATAGTAATTATTAAGCTTATAATTGATCTTTTGCAAATATTCCTATAAATTGAATATTCTTTTTTAACATATATAAAAAATTATTATTATTAATAAAAATATTTAAAAAAAAACAATTTGATATGATGTTTATGATTGAAATAATTTATAAATATTATTCTAATAGTAATTTTATATGAATGGATATAAATGGATAAGAATTGATTAATAGAATATTTACAAAATAAATCAAAAGATATATTATTGATAATAAAGAAAAATAGAGTTGTTTAAATAATATTAAAATCTTATATGATTTATATGCAACTGTTAATTATAATAAATGATTCACAATAAAATTAAATGAATTCAATAAATGTTATGAGCATCTTTATTTTACTTTAAATATTGGTCTCCTCTTAATATATTTCTATAGGAGATTAATGCAAATGTTAAGATCTATCGACTGAATTAGATTGCAATTTAAGAGGAATGTGTCGATGGAATTCTATCTAAATGAGCTGTTTGGAATCAAATCAATATTAATCTACTATAGTTTCAACAAGTCCTCTAAAATAAATAGAGGCAAAATCAAGTTCAATATATTGTGATCATTTTAGTCAAATAGAATGTCCAAATTAAAATGGATGTGCATGGTTTGAAAATAAATGTGTAATGTTCACAGGATGCACTTCTTATGTTAAAAATAGAGATGAAGATTGTAGAAAGATTTCAAAGAATTGCTTTTCAGATGGTATAAGATGTGTTGAATTGGATGATTGTAGTTCATATACATACTAAAAATCTTGTGATATAAGTAAGAACGGTAAGTATTGTGTGTGGAATACTTAAAATAGAAGATGTGAATAAGCTAAGGAATGTAGTGATCTTCCTAAAACATTAATTAGTGACTTAGAGTGTAGAACCTAACTATAATTTTGTATTTATATTAGACTTATTTAAATAGGTACAACAAAGATAGGAGGAGGATGTGTAGAATCAGGCCGTTGTTCTGATGCAGATAGTGTTGTATCTTGTGTTAGTGATAGATAATAAAGTATTGATTGCTTTTGGGCTGAAGGGAAGTGTAGAGATAAAACATGTGAAAATGCCTTAATAACTTTAAAGACCGATTAATAATGTAAGGAATTCTTGTCACATTGTACAACAAAGGCTAATGGAGGTTGCACATAGAGATTAAGTTGTCATGATGCTTAGATAGAAGATGCTTGTATTAAGGATTCTAATGGAAATGATTGTTTTTGGACTGGAGATTAATGTAAAGAGAAATTATGTGAGAATGCTCCTCCTTCTTATATTACAAATCAATAATGTTCATAAATATCAAGCAATTGTATCACAAATGGATAAGGATGTACTACCAATCATGGATGTACATCAGCTTTGAAAGAAGAGTTTTGTGAAAAGGATTCAGAAGGAAAACCATGTATTTGGAATGGAGTCTTTTGTACAGAGAAGAAATGTGAAGATTAAAATTTATAAGGGGATGAGTAATGCTCAGCTTTTATGAGTACATGTATTGGAAAACCTGAAAATTAGATAGGATGTATAACAAAAACATGTGAAACAGCTACAAATGATTTAATTACTAATGAATCTTGTGAAAATTACTTACCTAATTCAAATTGTATTGCTAAAAAATCAGGAGGTTGTAAAATAAATACTAGATGTAGTGCAATAGATTTTGAAGGTGCATGTATTAAAGATTCTTAAGGAAATAAATGTTATTGGAATGAAATTGATTAGAAATGCTTAATTATTACTACTTGTTCTTAGATTAATAATTAATCATAATGTATTGCAGATTAATTTGGAAAACCTTGTTAATGGGTTGATTAATTTATTAATAATATCAAAGAACAATGTGTAAATAAATCATGTTCATCTGCTCCTCTTTATCTAAAATCAGAAAAAGAGTGTAATGAATATTATAAATCAGATGATGCATAATGTACTTTAAAAAAAGGAGGAGGTTGTAGATAAAAAAGTACATGTCAAGATGTTGATATGATTGATGCTTGTACAACAGATAAAGATGGAAATGTATGTCTTTGGGATCAAAGTACATCTAAATGCAGAAAACAAACTTGTTCAGATTTTACAGAATTAACATATTTTGGTTGTTCTACAAAAAGAGCAGATTGCACTATAGATTTGAGTGGAAAATGTATAGAATAATAAGAATGTTCATCATATTAAAATAAAATATCTTGTGTAAAAGGAATTGATGGAATATGTTTATGGATAGAAGACTTTAAAGATGGTAAAGGTGCTTGTTTTTAATTTGATTCTTGTCAAAGTCTTAAATGGAAGACTGATGCTGAATGTAAATTAGCATCTATTAATTGTACAACTGATGGATAATAATGTGTACCTATAACTGAATGTAGAAGTACAAATGTAAATGGTGGATGTGTTACAGGAACAGATGGAGAATGCATCTAATCTGTATCTTCATTACATTCTACTGAATCTAAAACATGCTCTAAATTCTTTAATTGTAGCTCTGCCTATTATCTAACACATGAAGAATGTTAATAAGCTCATTCATTTTGTACAACTAATGGTGAAACTGGATGTAGAGATTTAACATCTTGTGAGTATTATAATGTTAAAGATTCTTGTCATATTAATAATAAAGGTATACAATATGATGAAAAGGGTTCTATAATATCTAATGGTAAATGTACATGGGATGAATCAAATTAAAATTGTAGAGAATAAATATGTTCTGATCTTATTTTCTAAACTGATGAAGAATGTTCATAAATACTAACAAATTGTACATCAGATGGATAAAAATGTATTGAGAAATAAAGTTGTTAAATGTATATTGATGAAAATACATGTAATTCAAGAAATGGAATTGATGGACCTTGTTTTTGGAATGAAGGAATTTGTCGTTTAAAATAATGTCAAGAAATTGAATAAGGCAATAATTAAAATATATGCAGTTAAATTAAGGATTGTATTTCTGATGGAGAAAAGTGTGTTCTCAAAGATAAATGCTCTAAATACAATACTTAAGTAGCATGTAATATTTCAGGAATTGATGGTATTTGTGTTTGGAATTAAAATTCAAAGACATGTTCAGTTATGAATTCTTGTAATGAAGCAAATAATGATGAAAATGCATGTAATTTAGCAAATGATAGATGTTTTTGGGATTCTTCATCAACTGAATAATCTTTTTGTAAAGAACATACATGTATGTCTTATTTCCTTTAGATAGGACAATGTTAATATTTTAAAACTTGGAATAATGATAAATATCACATTTGTAAAATGGTTCAAGGTAAATGTTCTTAAATTGATGCAAATACTTTGACTGCTGAAGAATGTTATACTTATTCATTTTATACTTATTCTTGGAGTCCTCTTAGTAACAGATGTATGTAGTGTTCTAGAAAAATAGAGAATGGATCCAATAATGGTAATTCCACAAATTCAAATAAAACAATATATTAATATATATTAGGAACCATAACAGGATTCTTTGCTTTTGCAGCAGTTTTATGAATTATTATAACATATAATGCAAAAAAAAATAGATCTATAAATATAATATTAATAATGGGAAGTAGTGTTTCATCTAGAATAAATGAATTCTAAAAAATAGAGGCCGATCTTAAATTGACCACTCTACCTGACTTAGATAAAGTATATCTAAATATATTCTATAGCTTTTAATTGTTGCTTAAGATCTTCTTAAAGTTACTGAGCAACTTAGACAAAGGATTGTATCTTATTATAACTTAATGATGAGAATAGTCAAATTGCAACATTTCAAAGATGTCACTTTGATTGATGCTTTTAAAATATGGTATTTGTGTACTCTTGTATGTAATGATTCAAAAGGAGACAGTGTTTAATTTGAATGTAAAATTGAGAATTTTGATTAAGAAGTTGCAACAGAAAGTCTTAAGAAACTTATGATTTTTGTATTAACTTTCATTTATACTTAGGGCAGTGTAGTGGCCTTTGCAATTGAAGACAAATTTATTTAAGATGAAAAAGAATAACTTATAATATGTGATACAGGAATCTGTGGAGATTTTAAATTACAAATATGGCCATTCATTTGTTCATCATTCTTAACTTATTTGAGATCTGCTTATAGATTGGCACCATATTTAGAAGAGAAAATTAATAGCCAAATTAATTTAATAAGAAAATATTTGGATGTACATAAAACAGAGAAATAAACAAAAATGATAAATTAATAAACCCTGACTCGTCTTTGTGAATAAATGAAACATTTTAATTAACTTGTTGATAGATATCATTAAGAAGTAAAATTATTTACTAAAAAATACAAATAAATCATGGAAGAATTACATCCCTTAAGTTAAGAAGTATTGAGAGAGGAAGGAAATCAAAATTACATTTTTAATGATGAGTAATCATTTATTAATTATAATTATATAGGAGAACTATCTTAAAAACTAAAATACAAGATATTGTTAGAAAATATGTATCTGACTATTAACTAAAAGAAGTTGCATTAATGTAAGAAGAACTTAAATTGAAAGAATAAAGAAGAAAAGTAAAACCAAAAACTAAGTTATAAAGAAGAAGAACTGAATAAGCTGCTCTAACATTTCCAACTACTTATCATTGGGTGGGTCATGAGTATTTTGATACATTCTTTTCAGCCTAATCATTAACTTTGTCTGAATTAGAGGATTGTCGTGCTTAAGGAGAAGAAGCTAGAAAAAAATTATTTAAAATTACTGGAGTGAATTAATGGAGAGATAATACTATTAAAAGTGTTTTTGAATGTTTAACTTGGATTTTATCTGCTGAATTTGATAAAAATCTAAAAAATTAAGAATTTAAATTACTTAAAGATGAACCTTGGATTGTTTTTATCAGATAAAAAAAACATAAATTTACTGATCTTTCTGAAGAAATAGTTACTCATTTAAAAGTATGGTTGAAATATTTCAGTCCAATCAGATATTAAAGAATTTGTAATTATTAGTATATATTTATTAATATCAATAATTAGTTAAGATTTTTTAAAAAGATAAAGAGAACTAGAAAAGAACAAATTGGAATTTCATCATATAATTAGAGATCTTCCTCCTTAAAATTAATATAATGCACTTTCAAGTTTTACTAAAAATATTAGAGTAAATGAAACTTATTTAAGTAAAATTGAAAAACTTTTTGAAATGACTATAGAAAGCAATGGTAAAATGGGAGAAGAATTATATGATAATTGGTAAGAGATTGTTGATTAAGCTGATTCAATTAAATATTAATTAGGAACTCCATTAAATGAATTTATTAAAGAATTTAGACCAAATACTTTGGCTGAATTAGATCAATTATAAAATAGAAAAGCAGAAAGAAGATAAACTAAATTATCTATTGCCTGTATAGAAATTTGATATAAATAATATATCTTATATTTTTTACAGGAAATAATTTAAATATTTTTATTTCTCTATTTTAATTAATTTATACAACTAATAAGAAAGCATAATTTATAAGTTATGTCTGTTATAAATAAAAGAAAATTTTGTTGATTATTCTTTAATAAATAATATTAATTAATAAATTTATGTTAAGTCCTATGTTTATTATATAAAAGATCGAATTTATATAAGAGAATACAAAATTGATTATTATAGTAATAATTGGATAATTTTTTCAAATCTATCAAACTCTAAAATTGGTTTTATCCTTCTCTTTTTGAATAGAAGGAATTTTGTCTATTGAAGGTGTTTAATTATTTATATTGATTTTTTTTAACATCTAAGTATAATAATTCTTTAATTAGGGAGTTGATAATTCAACTATGCTTTTATTGCAGATTTATTATCTTTTTGGTGTTGTACTTCTTGAAGGTGTTTTATTTTCAACACCTCCTCTAGAATATCCTGAGGTTTATGATTTTGTATCTATTGATAAATTTTTAGAATGAGTTGATTATTCTTTAATCTTTTATAAAGATTTATAATGTTATACACAAAATTATAGTACTTTTTAATCTTTATTTGTAGTAGTTTGTAAATTGAAAAAGACCATTTTAAATATTTCTAAAATTTCTTCTAACTTTATTTCTTAAGAAACAAATATGTTTTACAAATAATGATAATGTAAACATACATAAAAGAGGCTTTTCAACTATTCAGAAAATTTATCTGATCGTTAGCATATTTCCTCTATGTTATGTAACTCATCTATTTGACTTTAATACTTTTCTTTTTATTTCTATTTCAATTCATAATTAATTCCTTTAAATTATTATAAACTTGCCAACTACTTCTAATAGTACTATATTTTGTTTTATATTTATTTGAGATATTCATTGTCATTTTTTTCCATTTTTATTTTAACAACTGCTTCTAGAGTATCTTTATTAATTTGAATATCATGAGTTATAAGAAACTATTGTAACTTCTTTTTATTCTTCTCACTCTGTTCACCGAATATAATCAATTTATTATTATTCATAATATATTAAATTAATGCATTGGAACATGAGCCTTCTGATCTTCTTCTTCTCCACACATCCCTTATCTATTTATCAATACTTTATAGACAACTCCACAAACTTAACATTGATTCTCCTTGTTTATTTTCATTATTTCAATCAATTTCTTTTGTACATTATCATAAGTTTGAACATACAACTAATATAATGGAACCAGCTAATTATTATTAGTAATTAATAATACATACTCCATGTTAATTCAATTAATCCATCTTATCCTTTGGTAATAAAACAACTAAGTTGTCTGTGTAACTGAAAAATGGATTTTTTTTTGCTTTAAAACACTATTAAAGGTTTCCATATTATTTTCTATGCATATTTACTGGATGCTTTGGAGGAAGCTTTTACATTGCATTAACTATATCATTGCTTGCCATTTGCAATCTAATTGAATTCTATTTACAAATAATTTCCATTAAAAATTCATAGAAGTCTTTTTCCCAATCCATTTTGGTTTAATAATAATTTTAATTAATCAACAAAGAAAATTCATTTCAATTTAAAATATCCTAGAACTCTTTTAATAATCAAACTTATCACAATAAAAATACTAAATTTTATTAAAATCTTATTATAAATATAATAAAATTGTCAAATTTATATGTATTATTAATAAATTTGTATAAATTAGAACATTTATTATTATTATTATCAAATTAATGATTTTAGAATGATAAGAATAAAATAATTTTAGAAAACTTTAAAAGCAATATAAAATAAGATAATTTTATACTAATATATTTAATCAATTATGTAGATTAAATATATTTATTAAATTCAATTAAATATTGTATTTGATGAACATCTTTTTGATTATATTACCATTATTATAATGAAAATGGCTTAAATTAAAATTGTCAATATTTATTTATATATTTAGTAGTTATTTTATGTTATTTTATTTTTCATGAAAGTTGTTCTAAAAATATGCTATATATATTTTATTTTATATAAAATCTTTATTGAAAGATGTTAGATGTAAGTAATGAAAATAATCATAAATAGAAAAAAGACCAGAGCAAGTTCTAAAATTTTCTACTTTAATTGAAAGCTTTAGTTGATTCATTTTTGATTCCAAGCCCAGAACCAGAGGAATAACCAAAGCCATAGGTCACAAAAGCAAAAAAATAAAAAAAACAAAAAGATCCTCTTGCTCCAAAAATGCCTAAATCAGCCTTCATTTTTTACTTTTAGGACAAGAAGGAGAAATTTTAATCATAATATCCAAGTCATTATTACATGTAAAACTAGATTTACAATTTTAAGAGATCACAAAATTGATCGCTAGTGAATGGAAAGATTTGCCTAAAGAAATCCAATAGGTATCTTAACAAAAAAATAATTAGCAATATCATGATCAAGCAGAATAAGATAGAAACCGGTACTCTTAAGAATAAGAGTTATATCAAACACAATCAGGAAAATAAGTAAATGGAAAGAGTCAAACAAAAGCAAATAAATCGAGTGCGAAAAAAGAGAAAATTGTAAAAACTCTTGATCAAGAAGAAGATAATGATTCTTTTGGTGCAGACATAGGCCAGGACTGATATCTATATAAGAATATTTTAAAAATAAAATTGATCTAAATATTCGAAGGAAATAGTCAATTTTTATTAAATACTTAGTGCCTTATAAATTATAAGATATTGTTTTCTTTAAATCGACTTATTTTTTAGTTATTACATAAACCACTTTATAATTATCATTCCATTATATTATTTTTTTGAATTTTAAAAAATCTTTATCAAAATTCAGATGGACGTAAAGATAGGAAGATCGTTTAAATTAACAAAGAAATTAGGTTCAGGTGCTTTTGGAGAAATATTTCATGGAATCAATCTTAAAACAAACATGGAAGTGGCAGTTAAACTTGAACCTGTAAATACTAAGCATCCACAACTGTTTTATGAAGGAAAATTATATTAATACTTGTTACAAGAACCCTCAGTTATTGATAAAGGAATTCCAAATGTTTACTATTGTGCAACAGAGGGTATTAATTTTTAGTATAATTAAGGTGAATATAATATCATGGTTATGGATCTATTAGGTCCATCTTTAGAAGATCTATTCAATTTATGTGGCAGAAAGTTTTCACTTAAGTCAGTATTAATGTTAGCTGATCAAATGATTTAAAGAATTGAATATGTTCATTCTAGACACTTTTTACATAGAGATATTAAACCAGACAACTTTCTAATTGGAACAGGAAAAAGGTAAAATGTATCAAAATTAATATAGAGCTCATAAAGTTTACATTATTGATTTTGGCTTAGCAAAGAGATATATTTAAAAAGATGGAAAACATATTCCTTATAAGGAAGGTAAAAACTTAACAGGAACAGCTCGTTATGCCTCTATCAATACTCATCTTGGTATTGAATAAGTAATTAAAATATTTAAACTTTAGGGAAGAAGAGATGATCTTGAATCATTAGGCTACGTCATGATGTACTTTTTAAGAGGATCTCTTCCATGGTAAAACCTTAAGGCTTCTAATAAAAAAGATAAATATGAAAAGATTATGGAAAAAAAGATTTCAACATCAATAGAAACATTATGCAAAGGATTTCCATAAGAATTAGCTACTTATTTAACATATGTAAGAAATCTGAGATTTGATGAAAAACCAGATTACAGTTACTTAAGAACTTTATTAAAGGACTTATTTACCAAGAGTGGATTTGAAATGGATTATATTTATGATTGGAATCTAATATAGAAAACAGATGGTGCTCCTGGACAAACCACAAACAATTCTTAACCACAATAGCCAGCTATCGGTTAAGCACCCGCCAAATAAGGTTGATTATCAACCTTAAAGATTATTATTATATATATATATATACAAAATATTATAAAAGAAATATTGAAAAACTAAAATCTCATTTGATAACAAAATGAGTTGAAGAATATCAAAAATGATTTACAAGAATTACTCTATTTTAAATAACTAATTCTATTACAAGTAGTTTAAATTGATGTTATTAAATTAATAGATATTACTCTGATTTTGATTAGTATTAATTTTAATATAAGTTTAAGGAGAACTTAAATAATATTATTATTCCTGAGAATTCTAATTTATTATTTAAATGTAAAATTAATATTAAATTTATCATTAATTTTATAGATCATTAGACTTCAAATATTGTAATCAATTATATAAATATTTTATATTAAATCCTTTAAAAATTATAATTTCCAGAATTATTGACTTGTATCATATTCATTATTTTTTGTTTTGTATTTTTAAGTAATATATTATTTGTATAATTTATTAAAATCTATTTTGTACAAATTGAAAACAAACCTTATTAATATTATTTAGGGGAATAAATTGGATATAATAATTTTATATTATGCAAGTTAATTAAAATGAAGAGTTTTATCTCAGATATTAGTATAAATAAATATTTACTTTAGTGTTGGACACAAAGGTGTTTATGGACATGAATTTCTTGAATTCGAATTCAGAAATGATGGTAGATTGAGATATGCAAATAACTCAAATTACAAATAAGATGTTTTAATCAGGAAGGAATGTTTTGTTTCAGATTCAGTTATCACTGAGATTAAACGCATCATAGAAGATTCAGAAATTGTCAAGTATTATAATGCATTAAATAAAAAGGGAAAATGATTCTAAATGGCCAGCACCTGATAAAATAGGTAGATAAGAATTAGAAATTAAACTTGGAAATAATCATATTTCATTTACTACATCAAAGCTAGGATCGATATAAGATGTACAAAATAGTTAAGATCCTGATGGCTTGAGAGTGTTTTTCTATTTGGTTCAAGATATAAAATGTTTTGTCTTTTCTTTGATTGGCCTCCATTTTAGAGTATTATTGTTATCTAATATAATTAGATAAAGCCAGTCAATTGAGCATTATTGTATATTATATATATATAATATAAGTATATAATTAAAAAAAATGATCAGAGATTGTTCACACTTAACAAATCAGCATGACTAAACTAAGTCCGCCCGTTACTTTGTCATCATTTTATAATAATTTTAATATACATTCAGGTGAATGTAGGAGTATAATCATGAGATCATAACCCAGTGCTTGTTTTCATCATTAAATAATAAATTAAATAAATTAATGAAATTATTTGTTTAAAATTATGGTTATGATTATTAAATAAATTAATTCTTTTTTTTTTACAATATATGAATTAATAATATTACAAGATGTTATTGGAATCCTAATAATATCTTAACTAAGTCATTAAAACATTTACTAACAATAAAAATAAATAATAAAATAAAGAAATTTAATTTAGATAAGTCAATGTTTGAATATCCATATAGATTATAAAAGTTCAAAGGTTATCTCTCATTTAATAAAATTAGAATATTAAAGAATATAATGATTTATTAAACTATATTTTATATTATAAAAATTAATAGAAAAAAATTACATTTTATATATTATTTTTTATTAGTTTTAATTTATATTGTTTTATTAATCTACCAAAAATATAACTAGAGTCATTTAATAGTTTGTTATCAATGTAGAAACCAATCCATATTAGAGTTTATATGTACTATTATTAAAAATTGATAAATAATATCATATTTTAATATAAATAAAAATTTGATGGGTATTGAACAAAATAATAAATAGATTTTTAATATCTCATATTTTCAATTACTGTTTTAAGATGGATTATAATTTTAATGAAGGAATCAAGATTATATAAAGATAGAGAGGATGGTTAAATGCCACTTAATAAATCATAATAACTTATGGTAAAGGAGAGATTAAAAGCTCATTAATAAATTTAATTGTCTGAATTAAAAAATGAATAACTATAATATATGAAAGAGAGAGCATATTGGACAATTGGAGAAGAAGTGATATTGTTAAAGTATGTAAAAAGTCATGATAATCAATAATGGAATTGGGATGGATTAAAATAAAAGTTGAGAAAAAAAGATGGAAATGATTGTCAAAAGCGATATGATGAAATAAGAAGACCATAAGATGGAGAATATGAAAAGCCTGAAACTCCTATTGATAAAAGTTGGGATTAGAAAAAAGAAAGCATTTTGTTATATTGTTATATGAAATATTAAGGTCAATGGGGAAAAATATAAAAAAGAATCAATGAATTTAGCATTTAAGAATTATAAGATAAATTAGCTGAAGTATTTAAATATTTAAAGTTTTTAGATATAAAGTTCAAGAAGATTGAATAATTAATGGAATATATGTGGAGACTATTAATTATTAGAAGGAATAATGAAGAATAAGAAATTATAGGAACTAGAAGGTTAATTAGGAAAGAATTAAGAAGAAATTACAAATCATGTGAAGGAAATTTTAGAAGATTTAGGAAAGAAATTTAGGATTACAGAAAATGATTATGTAAGTGATAAATCAGAGGATTCTGAATAGATTCGAGAAAGAATTCAAATTGTGAGTAGCAATAATAGTGAAGGAAGTGGATATAATAGTTCAGATAATTGAATTTATAAATTAATATTATTTATGAAATCAACTAATGATATAATTTTAAGTAGAGATGCAAATATCTTAAATCTAAAATATTCTTTTAATTTAAAACTATTTATAAGTTAATTTGTGAGAAACACACCTTAATATATTTTTACAAACTCTATTAATAGAATTTAAATAATTACATCATCTACTTGAAAAAATTGCCGTTAAATTTTTAATGGCTCAAATTACTCAATATTTCAAATGAAAAACACTTTAATTAATAAATTAATATTTAATTATGATGAAGATGGAACAAAATAACAATTAATTTAAAATAAATATTAAACAAATTTGCTATTCCATTAGATTGTTATCAAAGATTAAAACATCACTTTAAAATTTGTATAAATGATAATCTAGATTTAATTCTTAGTCTTCATAATAAAATTTTTGTGAATTAAAGGTCTTTTGTCTGGAAACATTATTCGTCATCAAGATTTAAAGTAAAAGGTTTGCTAATGAATTCATAAGGATCTATGAAATAATAGGATTATATACTTTTTCCTTTTGTTAGAAGATAATATTAAACTTCAATTCCCATAATGATTTTATTTATGTCTATATAATGGCTCATGTGAAAGATTTTCTAGTTATTTTTCATATCTTTATTATTTTTTAATTTTTTTTGTATCGAATCTAGATTGCTCATTAGGATTACTACAGAAGCCGAGGAATCAGTTTACAAAAGAAATTAAATTTTTCTTTGTTCCCATTTATTTTCTAGTATAAAGAATTACTTTATACTTATAGTCATTGCCATATCATTCTTCAAATTTAAATTACGATTTGGACCTTTCTCCCATTAAATATAACTCTAATTTTGAAGACAGTAATCTCCAATTGCATATTTGTATTCAAAATGGTTTTGAAATACTTCATATGATATTTACCAATGAGAATCCTTAAAATATACTGACACAATTTTACCTATATACAAGTCATTCGACACATTCTATCAACAACCCAATTGGATTGAGAATTGGCTAAATACAAGGCTTATCCGTATTTTAGTATAATATCTAAATTAAATTCAACAAAGGGCATTAAATATAAGTTAATTAAAAATTTTATTAAAAGTCCTTATGAATTTAAATTCAATTTGATCTTACTGTTAACTTGTATTAGAATAAAGGATATATAAAAAATACCATCATATGCAAGACTTAAATATAAAAAATGTTAATAATTATTTATCCTTGTTTTTTAATTAAATTTTGATATAATATAAATCAATATAAGATATAACTGTTTTCATTAATTATAGTTTGGTACTTGATTTTTAAGTAAATAAATAATAATGAGGCTTACTTAATCCTTACAAAATTTATTGATAAGATTATTTTATTTACATTTTTTAATTCTATGATGAAAATGTATTGAGATACCTGGCTGTTAGTAAATAATAACAACACATTAGTAAATTATAAATTTTTAATAATAAAATATAATTACACTATTTGATTTCAATAAATTTTAAAGTTAATTAAAACTTAATTATATAATTGTAATATTTATTTCTAAATTTACATTGATAAACGTAAAAATAAAATAAAGTCATTAGAAACTATTCATTTTTACAAGGGAGGGAGCTTAATTGTATTTTTTAAAACTTTCATTAGAGTATTTTTCCTAAATTTAAGGGATCTAAAAATCATCTCTTTGCTCTTCTTATTTTTCTTGTATAGGTGATTAGCATATATTATTATTAATCGTTTTCTTTCCTTTTATCTTTTCAGAGGAAAGATAAGAATCAAAAGGTTTGAGTTCATACATCTCTTAAATCATATTTTTAATTTCTGCTATATATTTATGCTAATTATAAATATTCCACATTGTACTTTTTATTCGATTGAACTGATTTTATTATAATGAATGATTTATAGTGTGGCTTCATTTTAAAGGAAGGAAATAAAAAGATCTTTAAGTAAGTTCTTACAAAGCTTAGACTCTTTGGGTTCATTGACTTAAACTTGAAAGCATCTTTGTAAATCTCCTAATTCAAATCGTTATTATTTTGATGTCTAGATAATAGTTTAATAGAAATATACTTTGGATTCTTAAACATTCTGTAAATATTTGTAAGCAGCATCTTGCTCCATCATTTTGGCCCACTTCTTGAAACGAGATAGAAAGAAATGAGGTATGCGCCTAAGGTGTAGTTAGTGTATTTGGATACCTTCTAAAGTCTTGATCTTCTTTGATGTCTGGGTTTGGGTAAGGATGGGATACATTATTTGATTTCTCAGAGTCGGAATTGACTGAAAATAAATAGGGGATGGAATACCACGTAGTTTTCTTGATGAAGTTTACTAAGGGTTGAGTTATTGTTTGATATCGTCGTGAAACCTTTAGATGATGGAGAGAGCATTGGCAAATGAGTTGAATTGATCTTCATCAGCTTCAAGGATGATTTTTTTGTTTTTTTGTTCAAGGACCTAGGAAATAAAGATAAGAGTTAGATAAAGTACTCGATATTTGAAGAGAGAAGGCTCATTATTGGTTTTCATTTATTATAATTAATGAGAATGCGTAATTAGATTGCTGTATTCATCAGGGGGTCTTGGCTTAAAGGACTTGGATGATTTCATGGTATATCTGGAAAGGTATAATGTCAATACGATTTTGCCCAATCCAGGCTTATATTTTTCTATTTTTCTGAAAGTACGCTTAATCTTCAAAGTTTCTTCTTTAAGTGATTCGACGTCCTCTCTTATTGGTGTTCCAGTGGCATCTAACTTAAGGGAAGTGACAACTCGATTGTGTGTGTAATTAAGAGTTTCACAACTGGCTTATTGTTATTCTCCACTAAGCATTCCAGCTCTTTCGAGTAATTCAAAAAGTAATTAAGTTTTTTTGGCATTTCTAATGAAGGGATGAGTAAGTAACTGAGTAGCAGTTGGTCTTAGACGAGGATCTCTTTGTAAACATTGATGTACAAAATCAATCATCTCGTTTGGATAGTCTCCACTTAATCTTGGAGGTTATTGGACTATTTTAAAAATAACCTTCTAGGGTGGTACATCTTCATAAGGAATCTTGGAGGTTATTAATTCAAATGCAGTGATACCAATAGCCCAGATATCAGTTTTTTGATCAGTCAATGATGATTAAATGGTCTAATAGAATGAGAAGGTCTTCTTACTTCAGGAGCCATCCAATAAGGGAGACTGAGGATGTGGGATTATGATTTATTTATGGTATCAGCAAATTCCTTATTGGTGGAGAAATAGGAGAGTTTGACTTTGGCTTCTTGGGAAAGGAAAAGATTGGCAGCTAAAAAAGAGATTTAGGGTAAAAATAAAACTCACATTTAATATGTCGATGTACAAGACCTTCCTAATGGATCTCTTATACACCAAGCAAAAGTTCTCTTATGATTACTTGAACATATTGAGTCTCCAAAGTTTGTTTGTTGATCTTAAACAAATGAATCAAATCTTTTAATGATCCTCCAGCAAAGTATTCCATAACAATAAAGAGTTTGCCATCTTGTCCAAAACACTTATCAACCAAGCAAATATTTCTAAAGGGTTTAGTACGATATGTTTAGACAGCTTAAGCCAATTCTGCTTGATTGACTAAATTGATGACTTTAATGGCCACGATGAGTCCTGTTTTCTTGTCCAGTCTTGAATAATAGGATTATGAGATTACGCTTTATAAACAGTGGAGTAGTCTGTACGGTCTAATGCACAAAGAATATCATAATCTTCAATAGAATGTATTTAGTGATCCAGACTAATGAAATTCATAATTACATACAAAATAAATCAATGATATTATGCTATATATGTACACTCAATACCAAACTCAACTCATTAAATGAAATAAGCTTTAATTTTTAAACATGAATCTCCAAATGTCAAAGCTGATTTCCATGAGAATGATACTAAAGACCCTATCAAGATCCTTCAATCTATTTATGATTAATATGATGCATAGTTTGTAGAAGAAATTATACTCGAAGAACTCGAAATACCTGAGATTACACCTGAATTGAGAGATAAACTTTAAGAGTTTCCTAATGTTCATAGTTTTGGCATTAATAGATGTGGATTATAAAGTCTAACAAATTTTCCATCCTTCAAACATTTAGTCAGATTCTAGGCTGATGGTAATCTTATTAAAGCTAAATAAATTGGGTATTTGAAGAAGTATACTGAATTGCGTTCTATTTCTTTAATTTGTAATTAGATTGATGATCCAAAAACAATGATCAAATATTTAAAGGAAATGAAAATAACTTAACTTAATTTATATGGGAATCCAATGCAAGACTATTTCAAATTATTCTTTGATGAAATACCATCTTTGATTTACTTGGATAATTTATAGAAGACAGGTGCAGAAGTTTATTATGATTATGATGATACAAATGAATTAAGTAAATAGGATGGTTATATATGTCCTAATTACAAGGAATACAAAAGTTGATGAATGTTTATTATATAAAATAAGAATAAATTTAATTAATTATATGGCTTATAATAACGATTTCCAGGATCTCTTGCCAGATGACTAAGAAGAATTTGCTATGAGAATGCCTGTCAAGAGTCATTTATAGAGATTGGATGTAAGTAAGTCTGCTAAAAGTAGCAATTATTATAATCATTAATGGATGAATTGGATATGGTTAAAAAGGAGAAGGAGTAATTGCGTAATAATTTAATTGAGTTATCTCAAAAGACTAGTGATTCATTTGATGATGCAAATAAATATTTGAATGATGAATATCGAAGATTGATGTAGGAGTTTCATGAATAAAATGCTTTGTAATTGGAATAACATCAATTTTTAAAATAATAAGTAGATTAGATAAATTAAGACAGAATAAAATTATAGTAAAATACTATTGTACTTGAGAACAGAGTTTAAGATTCAGAAAAGGAATTGGGATTTGTTTGATTATTATTATTATTATTATTATTATTATTATTATTATTATTATTATTATTATTATTATTATTATTATTATTATTATTATTATTATTATTATTATTATTATTATTATTATTATTATTATTATTATTATTATTATTATTATTATTATTATTATTATTATTATTATTATTATTATTATTATTATTATTATTATTATTATTATTATTATTATTATTATTATTATTATTATTATTATTATTATTATTATTATTATTATTATTATTATTATTATTATTATTATTATTATTATTATTATTATTATTATTATTATTATTATTATTATTATTATTATTATTATTATTATTATTATTATTATTATTATTATTATTATTATTATTATTATTATTATTATTATTATTATTATTATTATTATTATTATTATTATTATTATTATTATTATTATTATTATTATTATTATTATTATTATTATTATTATTATTATTATTATTATTATTATTATTATTATTATTATTATTATTATTATTATTATTATTATTATTATTATTATTATTATTATTATTATTATTATTATTATTATTATTATTATTATTATTATTATTATTATTATTATTATTATTATTATTATTATGATTATTATTATTATTATTATTATTATTATTATTATTATTATTATTATTATTATTATTATTATTATTATTATTATTATTAATACTATATTATCTTATATATTATACTATCAAATATATTCAATATATTTAATATATATCTATTAATTATATATATATATAATTATAAATAATCATCATATCAATATTATTAAAATGAAATTTAAACTATACATCTTCTTCTCTTTACTTACATTACATTAAGCTACAACATTTTCAACTATAAAATGTACTTGTGAACAATTACTATCCTAAAATGACTGTTTGACTAATAAATGTACGTGGGATTAAAATAAATGTGTAATTAATTTAGATACTCCTGTGGAGATTAATACAATTGTTACATATTGCACACAATTTGAGGATTAAATTTGTTAATAATAAATTGGTTGTGCGTGGATTGATAAATAATGCATTCCTTTCATTGGTTGTAGTGCATATGCATATACAGGACATGAGGAATGCCAATATATTTCAAATAAATGTATTTCAGATGGAGTGCATTGTATTGATTTAGCATAGTGCTAAGCTTATAAAACAGAGATAGCATGTGTAAAGAATACAAATAATAAAGTTTGTTATTGGAATATAGATAAATGTTAAGATATTTAAGAGTGTTCTCAAATATCAAAAACATTATAAAGTGATGAAGAATGTAGATTTTAAATGTCAAAATGTACGGTTTCAGAATAGAGTGGTTGTGTAGATAGTGGAGATGCATGTTCAAATTAGAAATTAGAAAAATAATGTATTTGGGATAAAAGTAAATCATAATCTTGTGCATGGATCAGTGATAAATGTGTGAGTAGAATATGTTAGAATGCTCCTGTAACTTATACTACATTTGAGTAATGTAATGAATTTCTGTCTACTTGTACTGCTTAATTGAATGGAGGATGTATAAATATAAGTTCTTGTGAGAATATAAAGGTTGAATTGGGTTGTGTTATGAATATGAATAAATAGCCATGTATTTGGATTGACAACAATTGTTTAGATAAATAATGTTCAAAAGCTCCTGCTAAATTCAATACAAATGAATTATGCAAGAAAATAAATAATAATTGTATAACAACATTAAATGGATGTGTAGAGTAATTATCTTGTGAATCTTCAAAAACATAAATAGGTTGTATAGATATGATAGATGGTACTAAATGTTATTGGAATGGATCTAAATGTGTTGATAAAACATGTTAAAATAACACAACAATAAAGACTGAAGCTGAATGTCAATTATATTCTAATAATTGTATTTTAAATGTTACAGTTTAAAGTGGTTGTCTTGACAAGATTTGTGAAAATATTGTATAAGCTGAATAATGTACAATTGATAAGTTCAATAATAAGTGTTCATGGAAGAGTACTTGTTTTACAAAGAGTTGTAATACAGCTCCAAAGACATTCACAACAAATAATGAATGTTAATTATATATGAATTCTTGTGTTTTAGATACATCTGGATATGGATGTATGAATATAAGATTAACATGTTTGGGATATGTATCAGAAAAGTCTTGTTTAATAACGAAAGGTGGTTAATATTGTCATTGGTAGGATAAATAATGTATTGATAGAACATGTAGTATGGCTAGTGTAAGTATGAATAGTACTTAACAATGTTAAACATTTAAACCAGATTGTATATTATCTAACAATTCTCGTGGATGTATGGATATTACATAAAATTGTGAAGATAGAAAATTATAAGGTAATTGTTAATATGGTGATAAACCTATTTGTATATGGAATATAAATAGATGTATTAAATAATCATGCGAAACTGCAAATATAGTAGGTTCACCAAATTATTTGAGTTATTTTGATTAATAATCTTGTCTTTCATATATGGATAATTGTATACCAAACAATACAGGTAATGGATGTATTACAAAACCATAATCATGTACTCAATTAAGTATTAATAATTGTATTATTGCATAATAAAATGATTGTATTTGGATAGGTGGATAATGTAAAGATAAAATATGTATAAATCTAATTGGATCTTCTCATTAAGACTGTTAAATATAATTATCTAATTGTACAGTAAATGGAAATTTAAATAGTTGCATTCCATTATCATATAAATGTTCATCTTATACTTAATAATAATAATGTTATTTAACATCTAATAATGTATAATGTACTTGGAATGGTACTCAATGTAGAGATGCTATATGTAGTGATGCTATTGATTCATCTGATTATGATACATATGAAGAATGTAATTCACTAAATTCTATTTGTACTGTAGTTAGTAAAGTAGGATAATAAGGATGTGTAGAGAAATATTCAACATGTGAAAGTTACAATTAATAATATTAATGTCATTCATCATCCAATTCTATTAAATGTATTTGGATTAATAATTCATGTTAATAAGTTTAGAATTTAACTTGTGGAGATATCAAAATTGCTATATATGATGATACTAATTGTAGTAATATATTATCTAATTGTAAATCAAATATAACTTAAACTGGATGTATTAATAAAGCATGTACAGATTATAATTATACAACTAAAAGTGATTGTGAATAATTAACAGGATGTACTATTAATGCTGATTTTAATAAATGCATAATTAAATAATAAAAATGTTCATCTTATAGTTCTGATTCAACTTAATGTAAATATTCTGGAGAAGGTGAATGTATAATGGTTGGTCTTGATTGTTTACACACTCATTTAGAATGTAATACAATTACAAATCCAATAAATGATAATGATTGTTTTATAAAAAGATCATTTTGTAAAATGTAGTCAACTGACCAAGGAAATAAATGTATTTAAAGAAATTGTAATGAATATATTGGTATTACTCCAACATCATTTAGTATTTGTTAAGAATATGATTATTCTTGTATTAATACTAGAGATAATAATGGATGTATTGAAATGAAATAATATTGTAAAGATGCAGTAGATGCTTCATGTGTTTATGCAAAAGATGAAGGACTTTGTAAATATAATGGTACAAATTGTGTAGCTGTTGCTACTGCCAATACTAAAAATTGTAATTTGATAGTAGAAGTTGGACTTACCCTTAAGAAATGTTAAGAATATTCAAATAATTATTGTAGTGTAAATAGATCTAATTCTGCTTGTGTGAATATTAAACCATATTGTTCTGAATATACTAATATATAAGATTGTTATTAATCAACATCAGGCAGATGTAT